TCTAATCTTCAAATCCCCATGTAAGCTTCACCCCACCTGCATTTTGCAAATAGTCCATCAAGGAAGCTGTTCTTTTTATCAGCTCTTGCCCTTGCAATTGGACTACTGGTCCCGAGGACCTGCTTTACACACTTGTAGTCAATGTGGACTAGACGCTTGCTTTTTTTCTTTCTCTGCAAATCAACAGAACTGTGTTCTGTGTACGAAAAGCAGCAGGGAGCCTTCCAACACAGGGAGGTTGTGTTCCTTTTTCAGGTTGCAGAAGGTTGCTTGGAGTATGAGCTGTTCTGTTGCTGGCCTATGTTGATGATCCTTTTCCATCTCTGTCGGGGTAGGACACGGAGGGCCCAACCTACTCCTGGAGCTGCGTCTCGAAGAACTGCGGCATCGCCTGCGCATTGAAGCGGCGGTGGCCGAGGGAGCCAAAAACGTGGTGAAGATCCTTGGCGGCCGGCGGGTGCAGGACCGGAAGATGTTGGCAGAGGTAAGAGGAGCTTTGGAACTGCACCGAAGAGGTTCTGCAGCCAGAGTGAGTGACTCTGTATGTTTCTAGTCCTCGTGGAGGGTGGAGGCTGCAATTCAAGGGGTCTTCCTCCATCTGGCACCCTCCAGGTGTGTGGGATTACAATTCCCAGTATCCCCAGCAAACATGATCACTAGAATTGGAGTAGAGGCACCTCTGGAGGCTGCTGGATTTAAAAAAAAAATCTGCTAGGTCAACAAAGGTCTCGTACTTGAATTTTCCGTGCTGAATTTTGTATGTCAAAATTGAGCATAACTTGAACAACTCCTGGTGGTTCCAAGGATAGGTCTGTGTAGTTTTCTCTGCATCATAGTCAAGTGCTTTCCCTGTGCCTTTACGGGATGTTTTTCAGTCTAGCCATATCCCTTGGAATTTCTGGTTGGTCCTCCATCCAATTACTTACCAAGCCTAACCCTGTTTAATAGCCCTGATTCAGGTAATTACTAGAAATCAGGATGGATGTGTCAAGAACAGTTCTTGCCAAACAAATCTTATCTCCTTTTTTGAGTGAGTAACGTTTGTAATAGACTGTGGGAATGCTATAGACATAATTTATCTTGACTTCAGCAAATCCGTTGACTGTAGGCTGTGACCTGTGGATTAGCAAGTGAATTCAGTGCAGGTTGGAGGATGTGGCAATTATGTCGATTCATAGCTGGTTCAAACATCATGTCAAAGAGTTCTTATCAATGGTTCTTCATCAAATTCCTTTCCAGCCAAGGTCAGCTGGATGATAGACACATAGTTCAGCTTGTATCAAACAAAAGTACCCCACAAGTACCCCACAAAACAAAGTCCAGGCGCTCCTTTTATTTAGCAAAACAATTGCTAAAAAAAAAACAGGATGCCCAATTTTGAAACATGAGCTCTGTCATGGGGAAGACTTTGCTCCTGTGCAAAATAGCTGTGAGGAGGCATGTAGCTATTCAGAAGACCCCCAATTTCTGGTCAGCAGAGTGGGGAAATTAAGGCAAAAAGTCAATTGCCAAGTTACTAAGTGGAAGACAGGGTTAATAAAGATTCAAAACTAGCAGGGTTTACCTATTATGCAACATTACAACTTCGTTTAATCCAACAAGCCACATTATGACCCAGTGCGACCGGCAGATCCAGGTCCTTTTCTGAAGCTAGCATTCGCACCTGGAATTATCGGATCTCAAGACGGCACCCTGGTTAGCACTTAGAACTGAAAAGCCATTTTCTTAAAAAAGCCATCTAAAATACTAGCAAAAAGTGGACTTTTTTTTTCTCTGCTATACCCTTTTCACACATGAAATCTTGCCTTCGCTTGGTTTCTACTCGCTGTTTTACCTGATGCCAGAAGGCTGCATTACAGGGCCCATCCCATCTGCAGCGGTTAAAAGTTTTTTGCAAAGGGACTCGTAATCTCATCATGTGTAGAAGCCCCCAACCTTCTTCCTGCCATCCCCTCCGAAGTGACCCATCACTTTTTAGCAGCAGGAAAAGACCTTTCCTCCTCTCCTAGAGCCTTTCGTTTGCAACCGTTTAATTTAAAATATTTGCCCCACACTGCAACTGACTTCTTTCATAAGAGAAAAGACAATATCTACATTTATTGGTGATTGGAAACCCCTTATGGTCTTTTTGTGTAAAAATGAAAAAAGTGAACTTGTGATTTATGACTTTGATGATGAGACAGGATAGATTGTAGAAAGAAGAGCATCACTTCCTTCCTTCCTTCCTTCCTTCCCTCCCCCCTCCCTCCCTCCCTCCCTCCCTCCCTCCCTTCTCTCTCTCTCTCTCTCT